CTTGTATTATATATATATATATATATATATATATATATTTACTATTTTTTTTATATTGAGTATATATACAAAACTGTGGAATAAACAAATAATGAATTTATTGATAACAATTAATAATTATTATAGATATATTGTTAATTGCTATTAATATATTCATTACTTGTTTATCCCATAGTTTTTATGGTTAATCTGAATTTTGTATTCATTATTAGGAGGTGACCTTTCATTTCTTTATGTTTAAACAGATTTACAGGCTATTATGCTAAAAGAATGTTGACTCGGGTTTTAGATAATCCATGAGATTAGGCCTATACTTAAAGGGGAGAGACATGCAAAGAGAGAGAGAGAGAGAGAAAAAAGAAAGAGAGAGAGAGAAAGAGAGAGAGAGAGAGAGTAGTTTTAATGGAGTAGGTGGTTAATCTATTGTAGGCGAAGAGTAAATAATATAATAAAATAATGAAATCTTATGTCAGAAAGCGTCTAAAGTAATTTCTATTCTCACAGGGTCTCAAATGTTGCAAGAAGAAGATGTATTTTAACATAAGCTAGGGCGTTGTGGTTTTTGCGTTCATATACATTGGCGTTCTGTTATTATAACATGCATTGTTATGATCATTACAGTTTGTTTAAGGAGCAGTAGCGCTATACATTATGGGTTGAAAATAACAGCAAATGAAATACGAAAATACAATAAAATCGTACACCTATATGATTCATAGACGTGAAGATGATGACCAGCTCTTGATTTAGTGCCTATTTAGTTTTTTGAAAAGGCCATTCGAATAAAAGATTTTATCATATTGTAGGGCAGATGCCATGCTGTGGCGATACATGTTGTGAAAATGGAGGAACATGTTACGGAGATGCGTCAGCATTTGTGTGTGTGTGCCAACCCGGTTACACGGGAGTTTACTGTGAGACGCAAGATCCATGCGGCGGCGAAAACCCCTGCCTAAACGGTGGAACCTGCGCTCAGGTTGGTGACAGCGGATCATACACATGCTTCTGCGATGAAAAGTGGACTGGTAAAGAGTGTGAGACTTGTCAACCATGCGTCTACTATGAGCAGCCGTGCGATAACGGTGACTGCTATCCGTACCCAAGCGCCCAGGACTGCCGGTACACGTGCGAATGTTACAGTGGGTGGGTAGGGGTTAACTGTTCCGTGAAAGATCCGTGCATTCCTGATCCTTGCAATAGTAATGGCGATTGTGTTCCTAGCTCTGTCGATCCAGCCGTGCCAGTGTGCTTCTGCAAAGACGATTTTGTTGGTCCGACCTGCTTACCAGACCCATGTTCCAACCAGCTCAATCCCTGTAAAAATGGGGCTACTTGTAGACCCAATAATTCCTCTTATCCTACGGGCGCAGTCTGTCAATGTACACCAGATTATAAAGACGACAACTGTACAACGATTAATCTTTGTGGTCCTAGTTATAACCCATGTGGGACACACGGCAAGTGTAGGGATGTTAATGGGGAAGTCATCTGCCAATGCGCGACTGATTGGGTTGGGAAGTATTGCAACATCAGTGACCCATGTTCTGCAGAGCCATGTACTAATGGCGGCACATGTATGACTGAACTCCTAAATGACGGGTTAGACGCCACATATAAGTGCAGCTGTAGAGACGGATGGATAGGAGATACGTGCTCTGTAGCTGATCCATGCTTTGGACAGTACAATCCGTGTGTGAACGGTGAATGCAGCCCGCGGCCTGACGACCTATCTGAAGCTGTGTGTGCGTGTAATGTCGGATGGACCGGACAGTTCTGTGATACAAGTAAGTTGGAAATATTGGGCATATTAACTTTATCATTACTGTTGAATCTTTTTGATTAAAACCTTCCAAATTTCATTTGATTAACTCGTGCATCAAACTCATGCTCTTTATTTTATTGATTTACAGGTTTAAGCTGTACGCCAAACCCTTGCACCAACGGACTCTGCTTTGACAACACAAACGGTTCTTTCGGCGAGCTGAATTTTATTTGTCAATGTTATGTTCAATGGGTCGGTCCATATTGCAACATTCAAGACCCTTGCACTGATGACGGCTGTACTCCGGGAGGTAAATGCGTCCCAGACCCTAACAATATGTACGATGCCTCTTGCGTTTGTAAACCAGGATGGATTGGAGAATTGTGCGAAATCACCGACCCTTGTGTGTCTGTGCTATGTGGGCATGGCAACTGCATCAGTAATCCAATTAAACCAGACGACCATCTGTGCCTGTGCCAGGAAGGGTGGACGGGTGTTGCATGCGATGTGAAGGCAGCATGCTCAGATACTAACTTTTGTGTGTTTGGTACTTGTGTTGAAAACCCAGATGCTCTTGGCACCCAAGCTTGCTTGTGCGATGAAGGGTGGCTGGGTGATAATTGCACAATGGAAGATCCATGCTTTGGTGCTAACAACCCATGCCAAAATGATGCAGCGTGCTATGCAGACAGTATCTCGGGCACATTCTCGTGTGAATGCCAAGATGGCTTCCTAGGTCAAAACTGTTCCATAGAAGATCCATGCTTTGGTGATAACAACCCATGCCAAAATGATGCAGCGTGCTATGCAGACAGTATATCTGGTACGTTTGCATGTGAATGCCAAGATGGTTTCCTAGGTCAAAACTGTTCCATAGAAGATCCATGCTTTGGTGCTAACAATCCATGCCAAAATAATGCAGCGTGCTATGCAGACAGTATCTCGGGCACATTCTCGTGTGAATGCCAAGATGGTTTCCTAGGTCAAAACTGTTCCATTGAAGATCAATGCTTTGATGTTAACAATCCATGCCAAAATGATGCAGCGTGCTATGCAGACAGTATATCTGGTACGTTTGCATGTGAATGCAAAGATGGTTTCCTAGGTCAAAACTGTTCCATTGAAGATCAATGCTTTGATGCTAACAATCCATGCCAAAATGATGCAGCGTGCTATGCAGACAGTATCTCGGGCACATTCTCGTGTGAATGCCAAGATGGCTTCCTAGGTCAAAACTGTTCCATTAAAGATTCATGTTTTGCTGCTAACAACCCATGCCAAAATAATGCAGCGTGCTATGCAGACAGTATCTCGGGCACATTCTCGTGTGAATGCCAAGATGGCTTCCTAGGTCAAAACTGTTCCATAGAAGATCCATGCTTTGGTGATAACAACCCATGCCAAAATGATGCAGCGTGCTATGCAGACAGTATATCGGGCACATTCTCGTGTGAATGCCAATATGGCTTCCTAGGTCAAAACTGTTCCATAGAAGATTCATGTTTTGCTGCTAACAACCCATGCCAAAATGATGCAGCGTGCTATGCAGACAGTATATCTGGTACGTTTGCATGTGAATGCCAAGATGGTTTCCTAGGTCAAAACTGTTTTATAGAAGATCCATGCTTTGGTGCTAACAATCCATGCCAAAATGATGCAGCATGCTATGCAGACAGTATCTCGGGCACATCCTCGTGTGAATGCCGAGATGGCTTCCTAGGTCAAAACTGTTCCATTGAAGATCCATGTTTTGATGTTAACAACCCATGCCATAATCATGCAGTCTGCCATTCAAACAGTATGTCTGCTACGTTTGCATGTGAATGCCAAGATGGCTTCCTAGGTCAAATCTGTTCCATAGAAGATTCATGTTTTGCGTCTCCCTGCGGTAATGCATCTTGTTACGTTTTGTTACGTGATGATAGGTCTGTTGGCTACCAATGTGTTTCAGTTTAATAGTGAATAATACGTGCATTAATAATCCAAATTATCGAGTCACAGAGAAGCACAATCAGATGGTCATGACATCACCTTGTCAGATTGGGGCTATAGGAGACGATTGTGAATTGGATGATCCATGTTATTCTTACATTAATCCGTGCGGCCCGCATGGCGCATGTGAATACGAATTCCCATTTCATTTGCACTGCGATCGTGATACGCAGTACACATTCAAAAATAATACATGCGTTAGCGATATTTAAATGTGTTTTCCCGCTATCACTCCACATTTCGTACATTTCTCTTGTTATTGCTTTTATTAGTTCATTAGTGTGCATTACTTTAACAACACGACAGCTATACGCATCATAAATGTTAGAATAAGATATGCGTCACTGTTATTTAAATAAGGTCTAATAAAATTTCAAATAAATAGCATCGATTCCTTAATTGCTATCACTATATCCACTGTACATTCGTTTTGCTATTAACGGTGTAAGAGTGGCGGTAAATTCAGGGGGTCTGAGATTCATTAACTATTGATATAACGAACTGCAGATTTCAAATATATTTTAGTTAGGTAATGAGAATTTTTATTGAGTATTTTAACTGTCCCTGTTTGATTATATGTTTATTATCACTTCTTGTGTTTAATCTGGCGACCGATGAAAATATTTCTGTTGGAAATTTGTTTTTGTTTGTAAAAATTCGGATCCTCGTTTTACAGCCGTTTCATGCACCTTCTAACGACAACTGTATCACGT